TTTCCTGCCTTATACTTCTTATTCTTTCCTGTTGCCATTATTCTTCTTTTTAGTTTATATCTTCTAAGATTTTGGTCGTTTAAATAGTTCTTCTCAGGGTTCAAAATAAACTCTTTGAAGTCGAGATGCCCTGTTTCAATCTCTAAAATATATTTTATTGATTTTTGTTGAATATTAGAGTAAAAAAATGTTCTAAAGTACTAAAAAATAATATAATTAAATATTAGAGAATAAATACTTTTTTAAAATATAAGTTACGATAAAAATTACTAAAATAATAAAATTATTAATCTTAGAGAATTAAAATATAACTTTATAATGGATTTATATAAGATTTAATAAAAATAAAAATATTATTTTGAGATCTATCTTAGTAAAAAACCCTTGTATAATACAATTAATAGACATATTTTTCTCTAAGAACATATCTTATTGAAAAAATCCTCTAAAACACAATAAAAATGAATAAATTTATATTTATAAATAATATTTTTTATTCTAATATTACATATTTATTTCCTTTATATTACATTTTATTTACTTAAGATTAAAAAAAAAAGTATATCCATTATTTTTTAGGATAATTTTTCAGGATAAACAATGAAAACTTGTAACATTATAAAATAATATTTAAATAATAATAATAAAAATCAGTGAAACAAAACATAATAAATATAAGTAAGCTTTTCATTTGAATAAGACAATATATATTTTATGGTTAATAAAAAACAAAATGACTAAAAAATATTTTATTACATTTATGAGTAATAAATGTCTTATGGTATTTATTTTCAGGCATTTTTAAATATTTTTCTTTTTATTAATACTTTTCTAATTTTTTATGGTTATATATTTAAATATGATTGGGTAGAAGTGTTAAACTCATAACATGTTAAAGAAATACAACATTTTTAGAAAACTTAAAACCATTTATTATATGAAAAATTTTCATCAACAAGATTTATTTAAAAAATTATTTAGTAAAAAATTACATGAAAACAGATACAAAATAATAACACTTGACTCATAAATGAATGTTAATCCATTCCAAAAATATTATATCTTTTTACTAAAAAGAATTGACATACAAAAAAAGTTGTTAAAAATAATTTTTTAATTTCAATATGAATTAATCAAATGATATTAGTTGATCAAGAAACTCTTTTGTTAGAGATATAAAAATCAATTTTCGTTAGTTTTATGATATGAACAAACCATTTAACAACTATGTTTTTGTTTAAAATTCTTATATGTTAATAGAAGTATATGCTTTTTTCAAGGGTTTTATCATAACTCATTCACATCTTTGTTTTATCGATAAACAAACTTTTGGGTTATAACAATAAGATGAGATATTAAATGTGATAGGATAAAGTATTTTAGATAAAATAAAGCATTCATAAGAATAAATAAAAAATATTATAACTTATTTTGATATTTCCGATGAAAAAGATTTATCAGAATATATTATTTAACACACTGAAAGTTTTTGTTTCATTTCTTAGTTATTGTTTATAGTTTCATTTTAACAAAAGAAACAATATAACTCATCTTATATTATGCAGTTTATCAAGAAAAGGAATTTACTATGAAATATACTAAATTCTTTGTCAGGAAGAATTTTCAGTTATTAATGATTTTTTAAAAAAGTTTATTTCCTCATCATATAAAAAGAATTTAATAAATTTATTTCCTTAAAGAGAATAAATATGACAAGAACATTCACAAACCTATATACTTCTATAATGCTATGTTTTTCTATATTTGTTGTGTTAATTGTTACTTGTATGGTTGCTAATAAATCATCAGCTGTTATTCAGTTGAACACAAACCCCATAATAAAACCAAGAATTAAATCAAAATACGAGGATAGGTTTTTTAACCTTTATAACTTTAATTATTCTGGAGAGTGTTCAAATACATTTAAATATAAACCCAATAATAAAAGAGATTTATTGATTTATGGAGCATATTTTTCGGATAAAAGAAGCTGGATTGGCCAACGACAAATGACACTACAAACACTTTCACTAAACCAAAATGGAATTCCAAATGCTACAAAAATTTTGATGTTATGTGGAGAACCTCCAGAACCTAACTTTAGTTCATTAATGAATTCAAAAGGAGTAGAAGTTATTCCAGTAAAAGTTGATTCGTTATACAATGGAGCAGTTCTTAGATATGTTGTAATACAAAAATATCTTGAAGAAAACAAAGAAAAATATGATCGAGTGTTTATTGCAGATCTTAGAGATGTGTTTTTCTTTGAAGATGGATTTGCTACCTTTTCAGATAAACAATTATATTTAAGTAAGGAGTGTTCTAGAACTAATAAGGGCTATATAACTTGTGCTTCTCTAGACTTGGAGATAACAAGAAATTGGATGAGAGATAGTATCAGTAAAGAAGTTGCAGATTTATATGCAGCCAATAAAACAAAAATTATAAATTCAGGGACAATTTTTGGTGGAGCTGAACTAGTTCTTCATTTCCTTCAAATATTTACTTCTCAGTTTAATTATCAAAGAGTTGATATATGGGGCTATGATCAATCATTGTTAAATTATATGTATTACACTGGTCAGTTCAATTCATTAAATATTACTATAGCTACTTGTGATCAAATGTTTTGTTTTGATTTAAGAAATGGTTGCTATTATAATAAAAAAGAAAAGTCATTGA